CCTTGAAAAGCTATAAAAATGAGCCTAACGATCCGTTCATTGCATGTCCTTTAGTGTCAATACCGAGAGAACGAGATGGAGAGAGAGAGAGAGAGAGTGAGAGACAGAGAAAGAGAGAGAGAGAGGGAGAGCGAGAGAAAGATGCGCTGCTCGAGGATGAGATCCTATCGCTTCGGTATACGCTCACCTTCCCCGTTTTGCTGATGTTTTTTCAAGATAAACGATGCTCGATGGCAGGCTAGCAGAGATCTTTTAGGAATTGAAAAATAGATTCGGATCGAGTTTCATATTTTCTGTATCCATAAAAGTTTCCTAGGATGTTGCAAAACCCGCCAAAGGGCCAGGCTGGAAGTTTGGCTATATGGGCAAGGTGTTCCTTCTCTCTCTCTCTCTCTCTCTCTCTCTCTCTCTCTCTCCGGCTACCGTATGTTGTATAAGTTTGACTAATCGTCGGGGGCAAATATGGCAAAGCGGGGGCCAGCAACCTCGAGTGAGATACGCGACCTTCAGTAGCGGCCCTTATCACGATAGACACACCATCGGCTATTAATGAGCTATTAATTGGGGGTGGAGAAAGTGGAGGGAATGGAGAAAGAGCAGAGAAACGAAGGTGAAGCGGCGAGATGAAAGCCGGGAAGGGCCATTGGGTTCCACGGGGTGTTTCTTCGATCTGGCGGGGGTTGAGGTGGAATATTTTGAATCAGGAGAGAGAAAGAGAGAGAGAGAGAGAGTGAGAGAGAGAGAGAGCGACAGAGAGCAAGAGAGTGAGAAGGAGAAAGTGAGAGAGAGAGTGAGAGAGAGAGGTTGAGAGAGAGCGCGAGAGAGATAGAAAGAGAGAGAGAAACGAAACCCCACCGTACCCCAAGAAACCTAAAACCGCGTTACCCAAAAAAAGTAGAGTTTCGGAAAAGTGTGGGGTGCGTTGTGAGGGTCCCATGAGGGATAGGGAGGCACTCGATCAGGAGGGTGGGCCCTAAGGAAAGGCCTTCCTTAGGGCCCACACCAGTGGGTGTGGCTATCAGTTACCGGGGGCCCTCGGCCAGGGGCCCCGGCCATCGCTCAATTAGTCCGGCAGGGGGGATGCACCCTTTGAAGTGCCCAAAAACAGACCGACAAACCCCCGGACGGACAGACTACGAAATACGGGATTGATGCCTCTGGTCAGTGGGCGTCCCTTTCATCTTACCGCGGCTGTGAAGCTCGGGCATGCGAGTTTAAAGAAAGCGCAAAAGTTCGGCCTTGAATTTAATGTTAAATTAACGGGTATTCAAAACTCTGGTATTAAAGACAGCACAACGTATTACTGGAATGACTGGAATACCGTAACGGACGTATTACTCCAACGCTGTGACGCACAGACACCGTTCTTTTGATACCTAATAGAGCGACCGAAACGAGGCCGGCGCGACCGATGATACGACACGCAACACGACACGCAACGCGAGACGCAACGCAAGACGCAACGCGACACGCAACGTTACCCGGATCACTAAGCTAAACGCTGTACGTACGCAAGGCAACGTTCGCACACGTTCGCGAAAGGCAACGAGTTACGAAACGCTGTTCGAAACTCGGTCCAAACTCGGTACGAAATACGACACGCAACGCAGTGCAAAACGCGAAGCGACCGTACTTGTGATTACCTCCTTTTCACCCCGAATAGATCGATAAGCCGGCTTCTACCCTTCCTCCTCCTCCACACCCTAATTTCCATATATCGGCATGCCAGGCCCCGATCGCGCCGCTTCTTGCGGCCCGTGGGAGCGTCCCACTTTTTTTTGGTGTGTCGATCATCGCAAGAAGGCCAGGGCGCTGGCCGTCGATTGTGCCCTTTGCAACGTTTTTGCCCATGTCGATAGAAGGGTACGATCCGAATGGGGAGGGGATGATTCAGATGGCGATCGGTGGCAGAGAGAGCGAGAGAGAGAGAGAGAGAGAGAGAGAGAGAGATTCCGTACGCACGGCGCGCCAAAAATGGCGGGTACCAGTCGGGGGGAGAAGCTGTATGAATCGAGGGAACTCTGCTGGCCAGACTAGGGTGAGCCAGGAATAAATGATGAGGGGCTAGCAGAGAAATTTTGGGAAACTCGCTTTCTGAGCAGGTTAGCTAGCAGGAACGCTTTAGGAAGGATAGAAAGACACCGGAGGCTAGGCTAGCTAACCGGGATTCTTGAAGAGCTCCAGCTCGTGATCCCTGGCTAGCCAGCAGAGATTCTTTATGAATTCTAGCTGATGCTCCCGGGCTAGCTAGCCGAGGGCTTCTTTGAGAGCTACAGCTTGCGATCCGGGGCCCGATGCCAGAAATTCTTTGAGGACTCCAGCTCGTGATCTCAAGCTGGCTAGCCGAGATGCTTTAAGCACTCCAGCTCGTGATCCCGGGTAGCTAGCAGAGATGCTTTAAGCACTCCAGCTCGTGAGCTCGAGCTAGTTGGCAGAGCTCATTTAGCAAAACCGTATACCCCTCCTAACCCGACTAACAAAAATTCCAATGCCACTCAATTTTGCCCCAGATGACGAATGCCTCAAGCGGCAACCGGATGCGCCCTAAAGCCCAATTTCGGATGGCAAGACGTTTTGCCCCTGCGGGTGTTTGGAAAGATGGTGATGGAGGGGCTCAATTTAGAGGCTGCAGCACCCTTCCTTACCCGCCATATAGACTGAGCAATTTGTCTATCAGCCCCCTCTCCTTCGGGGGTATCTGGCACCCATCTGACCCTTCCACTGCTATCGCTCACTGTCTTTAGGAGGGGGGCACCACTCCGAAGGGGTCACCATTTACCATTCGAGATCTTGGCGGTGGTTGATTGGATAAACAATGCCGGGAGCTGGAGGCTGATTAAAGGAACCGGGAAGGCAAGGAAACCCCAAAAATTACCGCGGTTTAGCCTTAGAAAAGAGAAAATAAACTTCTTGCCCTCGCGCCTATGTTTAAACCGATTAAAATTGTGTAATTTGCAGTGTGTTAAAACGTAAAACTCCAACTTTTAACGTTTAAACTGGAAGTGCAAAAATTCATTTTTTTTTATATTCCTGAGTCATACTTTAAAAAATCTTGAAATTATAAAAATGAAATTTTTGATCTGATTCTTTTGAATTCGTTAGCAGTAATGACCTTTTTCATCCATGGCAAAAATTTGAGCTCAAAATAGTGTAATTGCTTCACGTCATACACGACAGCAGCCATGGTCAGCGGCGCTCGGTATTCTAAACATTGCCCCTAGCTACCGTACGCCCTTTGAAGTGGCCGCTTATCAAGGGAATGCCATGGAGGGGCTAGAATATCAAATCTGTTGTTTATATTCACGATTGGGTGACAGACAAAGAGCGGCAGCACCCTACCCCCCGTTCATAGGCCTGGCGTGTACTTGAAAGCCCCCCGACCGCGCACCATATTTCAGGGGGGCAAGCCCCCCCTGGTTCTCTTTCTCTCTCTCTCTCTCTCTCGCTTTCTCTCTTTCTCCTGCCGTTCCCGCCACCCGAAGGCCCGTTAAATACCATTAGAGGCCAATCTTGGGCTCGTGAAGATTGTATCTTCTCAAGAACAAAGCCCGGCGGCGTATAATGATCGGGATTAGGGAATGTAAAGTATGCAAATTTGGGTATATGCGGTTTTAAAGGGACAGGGAAGGCATCACTAGCATCATATCGGTTCTAGACTGTTAGCGGTGGTGGGAGGCTTAGTCGGGGCAGACCAAATTTTTCTTTGTGTCTCTCTACGGCCCTTTAACAAAATATAAATCATTTTTATAGCAGCTTACATACCTTTTAAATATACAAAACAATATCAAAACATCATGAAAACCCTCAAATTTTTGGCTTTTTGGTAAAAATGTATGAAAAATGACCAAAGAAGGTAAAAACATCAAAAAAATATTTTTTTAATAATCAAAAACTACTAAACTAAACTACTCTCTCTCCCTCTCTCTCTCTCTCTCTCTCCCTCCCCCTCTCCCTCCAGGCTAGCTTGGTGTGCTTGGTGCATGTGTCCTCCTCTAGGCTAGAAGGAGTGGCTTTGTCCACAGCCCATAAATCTGGGTCCTCCAGGGAGAGGCTCCTGCTCCTCTCCACTGCTCACATAGTCAGGACACGCGGGGTGGGGGGAGGTGGAGGGGGAGAAGGAGGAGCCGGAGATTTATTATTTCCAGGCTTGTTTAAATCTCTGAGGAGCCCTTTTCTACCCGAGGCGGAGACCCTATACCCAACACCCAATACGTTGCCATCAAAAAGACAGTGGGACGTGGGTTTTTAGGGGATACGCTGAAAATCAAGTTCAGCTTAGGCTTAGGCCTTGGCTTAGGGTTAGGCTTCGCTTAGTCTTCGTTTAGGCTTGGGATCAGGCTTTGCTTAGACTTTGCTTGGGCCTCGGGTTGGATTTAGGTTAGGCTTAGGCTTGGACTTAGGTTTAGGCTTGACGTAGGCTTAGGCTTAACTTTGTCTCAGCTTAGGCTTAGGCTTTAGCGCTTTTCCGAAACTCCACCGTGCCAACTTGAGGTTCCCTCGTTAGGCTTAGGTTTTGGCTTAGGATTAGGCATAGGCTTAGGCTTTGGCTAGCCACCACCCCCAATTTTGAATCAATACCGAATTATCAGACATTTGCATCCGGGCATCCCTTTATTTACATGGCCATAAAAATGTTATAAATCGGGGGGAAGTGGCCACTGGAGGGGGAGATAACAGTCCGAGTACTTGGGGTGCAATGACTTTTACTGCTAATTAGATCCGGGATCGAACGGAAGGTAAGAAAGCGCGAGCGAAAAAGAGAGAGCGAGAGAGAGCGAGAGAGCGCGAGAGAAAGCGAGAAAGCGAGAGAGAGAGAGAGAGAGAGAGAGAGAGAGAGAGAAGATACAAAGCAAAAAGTTCTTTATTCTCATTTCAAATCATCAGAACACAACAAATTGACGCACTCGTCGTTGGGGAAGTGTAGTGAGTTGATGGTGCTTTGTCTAAGAAAAATATATTTTTATTTCTAGCTGTATTTCTCTCCCGCTCGCTCTCTCTCACCTTTTCTGCCGTTGCAACCGCCCCAAAATCCGCTTCTGATGCTGCACCGGATGCTGTCGTAGCCTCTCCTCCAGCTCGCTCTCGCTGAACACCGCCCACACTTCAACGCTCCTTTAAAGAGATGGTGACACGAAAAAAATTCTGTTTCTTACTTATCCAGCAACGGCAGCTCTTCGACTCGGCTGAGGGATCGTTCTTCTTGGTCGCCCTCGTCGGCAAATTTTAGGGTCTCGACGGTCTGGAGATTTAGCTTGTATCTGGAGCACGAACAGATTCCTCTCACCCTCGCTCTCACGCTCTTTCTTTCTCTCTCTCGCTCAGTCTCTTGCTCACTGTCTGCTTCCTCACTTTTCTGCCTACCTGTGGCATAAAAGCGATGGTATCCCGGCGGTCCACCAACGGGGTCGAGGTGTTCAGCGACCGCTCGTTCATATACTAAATTGAATACTAAGATTTTTAAAGGGTCATGAAGCTAAGAATTTATCAATCTCTGTCTCCGGCTGTCTCGCTTTATCTCTTGCTCCCTGGCTCTCGCTGTCTTTTGATTTTTCGCTTACTCTAACAAAATTTCTCGCTCGCTCTCTCTAGCTCTTGCTCTATCTCCTGCTCGTTCTCGCAACTCTCGCACTCTCTCTCTCTCTCTCTCTCTCGCTTTCTCATCGTTTCTCTCTCTGCCTCTTGCTCTCTCATGTTGTCGCACTCGTTCAATCTCTAGCTCTCTTTCTCTCACTCACTCGCTCTCTCTCTCCCTCTCACCAAATTCCCCGCTATACCTGCAATATATCCAGCGTCGTAATATGCTGCTTCTCCGGGTATTTCTGGCGTATCTCGACGATAATCTTCAGCAGTTCCTTCACCTCGACCTGTGAAGCAATAGACCACGATATAGGGGGCACCTCTATCTGCTCGGGACGCTTTTTACGCTTGATGATTCGACGCCCAAAGTAGTGGATCTTTAGGAATAGGTCCTTCAACTCCAGAGCGGCCAACTCCGCGCACATCGAGAGTACGGCAACTCCTAAAGGATCTCTGCTAGCTTGCCGAGCCCAGTTTTCTTCAACTCTCTGCTAGCTGATTATAGTGAAGCCCATCAACTGCTTGCTGCGATCTCGTTTTTCTCGAATTTCCCAGAAATCTCTGCTAGCTCTCCTTGGCTGGACGTTTGAACTTATCCCTGCTAGCTTTGTCCAAAGCAGTTTCCCGAAAAATCTCTGCTGTGTCGTCGTGCTCCTTTTCCTCAAAAATCCCTGCTAGCTTGTCTGCCTGCCTTCGCAGCATTTTTCCCGTACGATGGAGCGGGAGAGCGAGAGAGAGCGGAAGAGTGGGGGAGAGAGTCGGAGGGAGAGAATGAGAGAGAGGATGGGAATGAGCATGAGCTAGTGAAATATGGAAATAGCGTGGGTGAGGGGATAGTGGAAGAGAGACCGAGGTACAATCAGCATGAGCAGGAGGTAGTCAGAGAATGAGAAAGCGAGCGAGAGAGAGAGTGTGAGAGAAAGAGAGTGACTGCGCAAGTGCGTATGGCAATTTTAAAATTCCCAAACAACTTCTGGCAGCCTACCTAACCACAAATAAATTTTTTCGCCAGAAGGTACCAATATCAACCCACCAAAAGTGACAAAGAGAAATATATAAATTAGCGTAAGCGCATGATTGAGATCGGTCGGCATTTCCCCCATCGTCAAATTGGCCACAAGATTGAAGGTGACGAAAAACGCCTCGAGGAATGTCTTGTTGCTGCCTCAACGTCATTTTGAAGGTGTTTTAAAGGCATACCCACCAGCTGCCACGTACAGGAATCCGCCTAGGGTACAGAAAAGGAGCAGGATACTGGCGTTCAGCGACAAGGGAAGACGGGGCTGTTCTGGAGCGGCAACTTTTGGGGTTTCTTCTGGAAAATATTTATTATATACTTTTCGATAGATTAAAAAATTCTAAACAAGCTAAGGCCTTTGAAAATAGCTTAAATATTACGGCAGACTTTAAAAATAAAATTGTCAAGTTTTTTCTAAGAAATTATGTTACAAAATTACAAAATCGGCAACTAACCGTTGTTGTTCGGATCTCCAGTCCCAGCCGGATCTTCCGGAACCGCCAAATTTTCGCCGGTATCAGAGGCTCGTTTCTTCTCCTCGGAATATGAGTCTTTTAGGAAAGACCCAAAAAAATAGGATGACTTAACGTTAAAATACTGATACCTATGCCGTCGAACCCTCAAAATCGGCTTGCTGTTGTTGACGAGGTGTAGGAGTTTGTCCTTTTTCCGACCAAAAAGACGATTGGAAGCCGCTCGATACTGAAATTTTATTGTTTCAGGTAATAATAAAGCTTCTGAAATAAAATGCTAATGATTATCAAAAAGCAAAAGCTTGGCATCGGGTGGAAGTCGAACCCGAGCGCTAAACTTGGTCCGCCCGGATGCTAGCTATTACACCACGCGGCAAGTTTTCCGAAACGGTTTGAAATTACTTAAAAATTTTGTAAAATTTTCCATGGCAGGCTAGAAAAGATCTTTAAGGATTTACAATGTAAAGGTAGCGATATTCAGCCTTTTTAAAGTTATTGAAACCACCAACCCTGGTATAAACCTTCAAGACGATTTGAGACAAAAATCGGCCAATATCCACGGCGGCGAGGACCATTAGGGGGATTCCGATCATTCCTAAATTCGGGATTTCTCTCTCTCACTCTCTCTCTCTCCTAAAGTCCGACCTACATACCGTACACCACAGCAACGCACTGTCCCTTGGCGGTGGTAGGTACCGCATAATTGTATCCAACACTGGTGGTTGTCTGAAATTTTAATTAGGAGAGAGAGAGATAGAGAGAGCGAGAGAGAGAGAGAGAGAGAGAGAGAGAGAGAGAGAGCGAAAATTCACTTACCAAAATCGATAAAGCATATAAAACAGCATTCATACGATCCCAGCGAGGCGGGAGAACATCTTTTGTCGATAGATCGGGCGCCATTTTGAAGTTAGGGCCCTCGTGACGTTGGCTGATCCTGTAAAGGGCAGGCTAGCAGGGATTCTTTGGAGTTGTTCAGTTTCGGAGAAAGAGAGAGAGAGAGAGAGAGAGAGAGAGAGAGAGGGAGGGAGAGAGAGGGAAAAAAAACTTACTGCACAAGCAGGTCATGAATCTCCAGCTGAAAGTGCTGCTGCTCAATCGGCTTCAAGTGCTCTGACAGCCTCCCCAGTTCATCTTGAATATCCCGATATCGACTCTTGATCTGGGCGAACTAAAAATACAAAAATCCATAAAAAAATCGGATTCCTCGCCTTTTCATGTTGTAGCTGGAGGTCCGTCTCGTTCTCGATTTTTCTAAATTTTATAATGATTTTGAGGGCGGTATTATCCCTTCAAAATCTGCATAAAACCTCACGCAAACATCCAGGCCCCGAAGATCAAGTAGCAGAACAGGAAGCAGTAGAGCCCAAAATGAGGGAGCGCGATTTTAAGGAACTAGAAGTTGTAAAAATTGAGTTATTTGAGCACGAAAACCCTGGCGATACGGCCCGCTTTCCGCCGATTTTCCGTTACATGACCATCAGCTTCTTCTTCTGACGAATTTTCGGACATTTAGAGAATTAGTAAAATAGTCAATTTGATGTTGCGGACTGACTACTGCTAAGCAAAAATTTGGGGCGCCGCTGCGCCTTGAATTATTAAATTAGCAGCGGTGCAGCTGGGTCCCCGAGGCTTTTGAGGGTCAGGCTCCATCCAGTTTTTTTATATCCCGGCTCCCAAAGAAGCTACATGTTTGCGAAGTATACCAAAATGTTCGTCTTGATCTGGCGAGTATTTTGGCCTACCTTACAGCCCTGTATGATCAAGGGTAGCCGAGATATATTGGTTGGTATCTACCAGGCCTGGGAATTTTGCGGGCCGGGCCGGGCCGAGAAAAATCGGCATTTTTCGGGCCGGGCCGGGCCGGGCCGAGAAATTGAAAAATGCCGGGCCGGGCCGGGCCGGCCCGGGCCGGCCCGGGGGGGGTTTTACGAAGTCCAAAAATACCTTTTTTGGGAGGAAATTGGGACTTATTTTGCATATTTTCGCTCACGAATAGCCGATTTGGCGTTATTATACAGCCTCAATAAAAATTTGGTCCTTTTCTTGACTAAGTCCCTACCAGGAAATCGGTCCAGGTTCGAACCCGCCCGGCGTCTTTTTTTGCTTTTTTTGAATTTTTATGTCAGTGCGACCGGATTTTTTCTTAGATGTATCGGTATGTATCGTAGTACTAAACTAAGCCTCAAAAAATATATTAATATGGCGACTTTGGACTCGAAATGGCTTAATTTAACATTATTACCCTGAGATCGGTCGATATTTAGCTCTTAAAAATTGTTATAACTTTGAAAATCAAGTTTTATTAACAGAAGTGCTGCAAAATGGTCCACTAATACCGTATTAACAGCAAAATACCTTGCAATGGCGTTAAACCAGCTTGGCGGGAGTTTTTTGGCCAACCCCGTATTTGACCCTTAAAAGTCGGGCCGGCCCGACCCGGCCCGGCCCGGCCCGGGCCGGGCCGGGCCCGGGCCGAGAAAAATCGCTTCGGACCGGGCCGGGCCGGCGAAATCGGGCTGGCGGGCCGGGCCGGGCCGGCCCGGCCCGCAAAATTCCCAGGCCTGGTATCTACTGGGTGGGTCATCTGGGCATCAGCCACTTCATGCAGCGCTAATGAAAATTTGGAACGGGAGGGGCCTAAAATAAATGGGAAGCCCCGAAGTATAAAAACTTTACAAATAAACCTTACACTACTACTATTCCTCAGCTTAAAAACTACATATCCTATCAAAAATACAAAAATATCGATTTTCGGCCAAAATGCCACATTTTAACATTTTTAATGTTTTTAAAATGTTTCTTTTAGAAATATTTCGGTTTTTCATCGTTTCAAGCATAGTTAAATTTCATTAAAAACACTATCAAAACAGTCCCTATTACGTTACATAGATTTCTAGGAAAAGATTCGACCCCGCCCCCCGCTAATGCGAAAGAACCAAAAAGGGAATAAACTTTTTAGAAGCTTTTCAGCTAACCTTTCCATTATATAGGTATCCTTCTGTACTTATACTTTTCCAGCATAAATTCACGTGGTCCAATCGCTTTCTGTCGTGCCTAAAAACCTAAAATTGTACACGTTGAGCAACAAATCTTTTCTAATAAGAAAACAGCATGCCATTTTTGCCAGAAAACCTCTTGAAAGCCTTTTATTCAACCCAAACAACACGGTTAATGAATTAAATGAGCACGAAACCCTATAAAATGTGATGAGGATCTGAGGTGGGTGGGGGAAAAGCATCGAAAAAGAAAAAAAGCAGCAGTATATCCGCAGCAGCGGGCAGCACCGACCAATCACAGATTGGCGAAAGCGAGAGAAAGAATGGGGGGAGAGCGTTATAGACAGCGATAAAACATACATAAATCATCGGTTTTCTAAAAAAAACACACATAAGCTTAAAGCCAAAAATTACACAAGCGATAGGTAAGTACAAAGTGCGTACAATAATTCGTGGTCTATAATTTGGTATCATAGGAGATGGCAAAATCTTCAGGCAATCGACTGTTTCGACCCGTCGCGGCGGCCTTGCGCCGACTTTCGGCGTTTGCCGGAGTGGCTGCGGCTGAGGCGGCCCTTCCTTGATGGCTTCTGGTCAGACTGAAAAAAAAACTATAAAACCAGTTTTTATAACATTTTTTAACTACCAAAACAGTAGCTTAAATTAGCTAGAGAATACAACTTTTATTAAAAACCAAAAAAACTGTTCATTTGTACCAAAATTTTAAATTTTTACCCCAGAAAGTTTTCTCACTTAAAACTTATCCGAATGACCAGTGAAAAATGCTAGAAAGAAGCGATAAATAAGCTATAAAGCTATATAAATAAGGAACAAAAATACCCACGGAATTCTCGTTCTCCTTGCCCTGGCTGCCGGCCCTGGCGAGCGCTTTCTGGAGGCGCGGGAAAGCGGAGACCAGCTTCGCGCCCATCTCCTTCAGCTCGTAGACGCCAATCTAAACACATAAAATCTAGATTTTTTGCTTAAAAACTTCCGTACCTGTTGACCGCGATATTTGCCGGTGTCAAAGCCGCAGTAGGTGCTCTCCATCGTGTAGACGCGGGGCAGGCCGAATTGGCGCCACAGGGCAACCCTAAAAAAGAATGAAAAAGAACATAGAATATTAATAATAATATTAATCGAAGATCGAATAGAATATTCGAATAATAAGAAAAATAAAAATAAAAAGCTTAAAAAACTGTATAAAAAGCGCTACCTGGCCGAGGGTTCCTTTTCTTTTTGGATCGCGTACCTGCAGCCCTTGATCGAGAAGCCGGGAGCTATCTAAAAAAAATTCTTAACATTTATAAGCCAAAAAATCTCTATATAAAATGTTATTAAAACCCACAAAATACCATCAGAAAATACCGATTTTCCTATCAAAAGCGGCCATATTATCTCTATTTCTGTTTTCGTAGTTATTTAGATGCTCAAAAATTCCACAAAAATCCCAGCTAGCCCGCCCATACCTTGTGCAAAACCTCGGGCAGAACGTTGTGATCGGCAAATCGTTCGACGAGCGCCTCGTCCTTCCGATCCGTACCGCGCCAACTCTCGGCCGGGTTGTTCCCGAAGGTGAATATGTTGGCCCTACAAAAATGAGTTAAAAACGTCTTAAAACGCTTACTTTTTCGAGTGCCCATGCAGATCGATGACGCAAAATGGGGGCTTGGCGAGGACGTCGACCATATATTGGATGACGCCCTTGGCATGGTAGATCTCGGGGTGACGACTTCGAGAAGGGCGATCCCAGACGCGATTCATGTCACAGCCGGCGAGTGAGCATCTAAAAGCGTTTCAAGAAGTTTTTAGATTTAAAAGAATGCAAATAGACCTAAAATTTCACCCACCGATGGCTGCCATTGATTACCCCATCGGGGTTGAGCATTGGGATGAGCTTGAAGATGAAGCGTGACAGCAGGTCTTGAGAGTCCAAGTTCCCGAGGGCGGTCAGAACGCCATGCATCATCCACGAGGAGTTGCTCTCACCTGGGTGAACGCGCGAGCTGATGAAGATGATCTCGCTAAAAACATGGAATTAAGCGAGAGAGAGAGAGCGAGAGAGAGAGAGAGAAATTACCGTCTTTCGAGCTGCTCGACGGTGCCCGGCGCGGTGACGGTGACTAAATGAATCGGATTTCCGGCCAGAGAATGCCCGATGACGTCGGCCCGGATCGAGGTGGACGGGCGAGGCCGGATTAGATGGCGGTGGAGAACGGTCTGGAAAATCGGGTACTGGACTGTTAGCGGGGGGGGCGACATTTTTCCTTCCTTTTCCTTGCCTCTTTTTTCCTTAAAATTGGATGAGAATGGCGAAAAATTTCCTTTTCAAATTTAGAAATTTTTTTGCGGCTTTCAGTAATCAAAAAATGCTAAAAACACTGTAAAATAGACTAGCAAACACAGAAAAATTTTCAATAGGCCCAGATAGGCTCGCCACCCCCCCGCTAATAGGAAAGACCAAAAAACTTTTTCGAAAGATTTTCCGATCATTTCCGCACCTTCATATACGAGTACGTGTACGGGAAGTGGTAGGCGATGTATACAACGTCGGCGGCATGGCGGAACGACACGGAAAACCGGGTAGTGTAGAGAGCCCTGGAAAGGCGTAATTTCAGAGATGCTCGCTTGGTGTTGCTCCCGGTGCTGCACGCAAAATTAGGCCCTCAAAAAAGCGGAAACGAGCTCGACGAGACAATGTAAAATTTGAGGGAGTGAGAATCTCGAGAAAACCTCTTTTTCGCAGCTTTTCGCCGGTTTGCCGCAGCTTTAGACCGGAAAACTCGTTGGAACCAGCTGCAAAAAGGGTTGAATTGACTGTTTTCTGGCTAGTTGCCATTTCTTAAAACAGGAAATTGTACTAAGAATTTTAAATTAAAAAAAACGCTTTCTCCAAAACAACCCCAAAAACGTACCTCGGCTTCTCATTCGCATTCTCGTCATCATCATTGCCGATTGTGTAGAGATTTCGATAGTAGTGAACTTGTTGCCCGGCCCGGACCCAACCCGGCCGCCCGCTCGTCGCCTCGGTCACGGAGAACATCACCGGCTGCATCCCTGAATCAAAGGTTTCATTTTCTTTACAGAATTTTTACCTTAAAAAAATCTATAAACAATAGTTTTAGGGTTTAAAAATGCTTAAATATGTAGGTTTCATGCTCTCGACACACCTTTCCCAAACATGCTCGTCGTCTTGAGGTTGTTGATGATCTCAAACGTGTAGGGGACGTTGGCGCGGTTGTTGGAGATCTCAAAGTAGAACCACTGGAAGTGGTCGCGCGTCTGGTTGATGTCCGGAGACAGGATCAGCTCGTAGTGGTTGGGGCCGACCTGAAAAAAAGTTTTAAACTTATCTTCTTTTGCAAATCCGCATTAAATATTTTTTTTATTTATCATCAAAACAAACCAGGGTGGCCATTCGCAAATTTCCACTTTCAAACCGGCTTTCGAACATCAGGTTGCTGATCGACGGGCTGGGCCGGCCAATGCTAAACAATAAAGTTTATCTAGTAGCTAAAAACACTGTACCGTTGCTCGTCAATGTTCATCAACTGCTCGGCGGGCCGGTCGGCTCCCGAATGGACATCGGTCAGCTCATCAATGCAGTAGACGACCCGCCGCGAAAAGTCGCTGCTCGCCCGATTCTGCGTCACGATCGAGCTGGAATTTGTTTTTGAAGAGTTTTTCTTTAGGAACCCACTTTCCTAAGAAAAATAAAGGCATTTTTACTATATCTAACAACGGAAGGGCACGTGGACGATGACCGCGCTTACCGCAAAGCCGACGAGCTGGCTTGCAGCGGCTGCATGTCCAACGCCACATCCGGACCGCAAAATTCTGGGTAGGCGATTTTCACAAAGCGGATGATCGAGCGGGTGCTCTAAAAAATTCGAGGCTCAAAAACCCTTCAAAAAAAAATACCTGCACTTCAGTTTTGATCGCCTCCCGATGTCCAAAGTTCAGTTCCTCGCCTTCTGTCTCCACGGCACCGTCGCGGAACTCCGAAAAAGTACTGAAAAGCGATAAAAACAAATTTTTTCAATAAACCTCGCGTAGTTCTCGAACAGTTCGGCGGGCTTCTGGCGGCTATATTCGGCGGGCAGGTCTTTCTCGGCGGCCGCGTCTTCCTAAAAAGTGAAAAATTACTCGGGTTTCTTTGGAATTGCTTGACTTCTCAAAAAGAAAAATGATAGAACTTAATTTGCGACAAAACAGCCTAGAATTACTAAAGGGAAATTCTTTATTTTTGAAAAAAAAACAAAACAACAAAAAATTTACCTCCTCACTGTGCGAGTGTTGCCCGTCGTCTAGCGATTCGTCGACAAATTTTTGCAGGTCGCGGCTCTCGAGAAGGTTAAGGAATTGGTCCTCCTCGGCTTCATCTTCGTCCTCTGAGAAAGATGCTTAGTTTTTCGTTTCTTTCGTCTTATCGGGGGTGGGGGATCCAATTTTTCTTTGGGGTCCAGAAATGCTTAGTCATTTAATCATAGGTATTATAATAATGTTTTCAGTAAAATTTAACTATATTTCAAGTGGAAAACCGATCTGAAAATTTAGAAATTCATTATCAATGCGCAAAAGTTCCATTTTTAAGCTTTTTTGCAACTCAATCTCCCCTACCCGACGAAGAGCCATCGCTGTACACCTCTTCGAGGGAATGGGAGTAGGAATATTTTAAGAATCGAGATCTCAGCCAAATTGTTTTCAGGACAACCATCCTTTTGCCCCAGAATGACCAACAGCCATCGAGATGATGATGGTCGGGCCCGGCCAGGGGCTGCGCGTTGGCAGTTTCCAGGCGAAAAAGTACCCGTTTTTCAGTGTTGGCGGGACGTCATCGCCGGGGCCCATTTCTCGAGGGTCAGTACAAACAGTTTGTAGCTCTGGGTTCTGGCTGACCCCCGTGCGAACGAACACCTATTCGCTCACCAGATACCGGTACGCACGAAAAAGTTGTGTATCGATTTTGTAGGTTGGAGTTTGTAGTTCCTGATAATTTAGGGGCAGTCCTTTTAAAAACACCCGAAATCAGCAAAAATTAGGGGAAAACTCGGAGCTTTTGAATTATCGGGGAGAACCAACTTTTTCTGAGGGTAATTTTTCTCCTTTAGCTAGAGGAAGTGTTTCTAAATTCTTTTTTACTATTACTATTCCTAACCGTAAGCATCTTAAAATTGCGATTAAAAACTGCAAAAAATAACGATTTTTTTGATCAAAATGGCCGTTTCGAGGATAAAACATCTATTTTTTATTTTCAGAAGTTATAGTCTTTAGTAAATTTTTTTGTTGTAATATAGTTAAATCTTACTAAAAATGCTACTAATACTTACTATTACATTACTAGGCAATTCTGGCTGTGGAAAAAAATGGGATTTCGGGCATTCACGTAAATACACAACTACAGGCTACACCACGCAATGTACAGATGCTATATTTTTATAAAACAGACTACAATGGCCAATCCTCACCACTAGATGGCGTCGACGATCCCTCAAGCTCCCCGGGGGCGGCGGTGCTCGGCCTCCTCGCCCCCGCCAGTGATGCTCGAGCAGCGCGTCCCTGCTCAGCCGCCGAGGCGACACTCTAAAATGTGGATATTTTGGCTGGGCACTTTTTTTGATCGCAATTTAGCTTCAATCGGCTATTCCCGGTCTGACCCGGAAAGTGCTAAAATCTTCCGGCTTTTCGTTTTCCCCCTAGAAGCTTCATCTCGCCAAGCTTTGGCTGTTTATGAAATCGGGCCCGGTTAGCCCGTCAAAATGTTCGCACGTTTCCAGCGCTCCCCCAATCGATTTTCAATGTCTCCCGGGGCGGTTCTGCGGCTTTTCACTGAAAAAACGCACGAAGGTGTAGGGGAAGGTGGCGGTGGCGGGCAGCGGAAACGGCCGGGTGGACATGCAGCGTAGACACAGCGCGCATAGGGACTCCTGAAAGTGAAAAAAATAGATTTTTGAAGCGTGGATCCGTAAAATTCATTATGTATATTGCAAAACCCCTAAAAATTTCGAATTTTCCTGTTTTATCGGCCTTTTCAAGACCCAAGAAAGACGGCTAAAAATTCTCCGAAAAAGCGCAATTCTCCAAAAAAAAAGATTTTTGAGGATTTTTGATCTACAGTATTCATTATGAAAATTTAAAAATACAGTAAAAACCGAGAATTTATAATTTTTGGGCATTTACGAGGATCCTAAAATCGAAATTGGGGGATTTTAAGAGGAAAAACTTTGGAGCCCGAGTTCGAGGTTCCTCTAAAACAGCTTTAAAAACTTGAGTGCGCATTTCTCTGAGAAACAGCTTCCGGATCCCCAAAAAAATAAAAAACCTATTCGCTCGTTTTCAGGGCCTACTAAGGATTTTCAAGAACTGAAATCTACCTAGAGCATTAGAGCCTTCCTAGGGTGATTACAAATTTCCCTAAACAAGGCTTGAAAAACCGAAAAAGCCCCAAAAGGCTGCATGGCCCTGCGGTGATTGCCGGGCCCGCGGTCCGGAATAGGACGAAAAAATTACACGGATACGTTGCCCAAAGCAACCGCTTTTGGGGAATGGCCCCGGCCAGCAACCCCTATCAAATGGCCATTTCCTCGTTGCAAGGGGGCCAACCTGGGAAGAAAATAGAACTCAGCGCGACGGGTTGAAAATAAAAAATTTAACAGACTTTTCTTGTATAAAAAAGACTTGAAGACGAATGCCTACATTTTAAACTCGTATTTTTTATTTTAGTCGTGCTCATGTCTTTCTAAAAACAGTCTAATCGCGTGGTTTCGCAAAATAAGCATAATTTAGCGATCAAAAAATTCTCTATGAAATTCTAGCGTTTTAAAGGGTCGCGCAAATTCATGATCGATTAGCTCTCCAGTCGTATGGTCTGAACCCAGAGCCTTCGCATTATCGGGGGTGAGGGCTTGAATTTTTGCATAAATCCAGAAATGCCTAGTAACGTAAAAGCCATTATATTAATAGTTATTTTAGGAAAATCAAAATACCTTTCTAGCGGAAAAGCTATCTAAAAAACTAAGAAAATTTGTAAAAACGATGCGCTGAACACCCGCGTATGCGGGGGTCTTTTTTTTTTATTAAAAAAAAAAAAAAGCGCTTGTAAATTTTCTAAAAAAAGTAAGCCTCCATCTTTTGCGGCTACCAAATTTGCAAATGTCTTTTTTTGCCTAGATTTTTATCTTTTTAATTCAAGATACTGTATTTACTCCTTGTCTTATTTTATTAAGCTTTCTCCTCTCATTTCTCACGCAACCCAAAAAAAACCCCAATCTAGCTCGTCCCACCATTGCTTCCTTATCATCATCTTTTTGGTTATCAGCCGGGGCGAAGAAAGAAATCTCTTATCGGGCGGGGGCACACCCTTCCCCGTCTTTTTGAGATGGTTTTCAGGTCATCGTGCGCGACAAGTTGTCGCCCATAAATCATCCACCCATCTACTACGGTACTCTTATCGCCATATAACTGCCTCCTTTTTACGGTCTTTACGATCCCAAAAATGACAATTGGGTTTTGTTGAGGGTTGGAATTGTATAGTTGAGGGGGACGATGGTCTACACCTGAAATTCCCACAGTTCGATTTCAGGAGCGGCAATTCTGGCCTGGGCGCCAAGCACAAATTTATGCCAGACGTGTCGAGGTACAGTAGGAAACAGGGCATGGATGTAGTCCGGAACTCGTAATTCCGGAACAGTCCTCTGAACGTTTTCAGCGGTCCTCGATTTTCAAATATTGAGGTTTTGAGCTTCAAATAAAGATTTTCAAGCAAACTTCCAAAGATGCTTTTGAATTCAAATTGTCCAGCTTTTGATCTCACTGTAGGACAACTACCGTGACTTTAAAGGGACACGCAAGGAATGTCCATAGATTCCGGACAAATGGCCACGCCGCGACACGCAACGCGAGCCGCTTGGCCGTTTTGAGCGAATCGTAATCAATTACGAGCGGAAAAGGCAGGCGTACGCGTCGCGTGCCCACAAATTCCATAATCTTGCCTTACCCGGACCTTTAATGCGCCTCTAGAAATTGCAAATCCGCCCGATTTCGAAGGACTTCAAATCCTTTTCCGAAAGAAAAATAAATCCAAATTCACAGAGTTTCAAAGCTAGCTTCAAAATTTATCCGAGTTACAGTATGCGTTAGACCGCCTCATTTTCTCAATGGGGTCCCTCTTAAAAAAAAACATTCATCCCATCCAATCTTTTTTTTCCTTAAATTCCAATCCTACCGTACCCAGGCTCCCTAAATTATGTCAATTTCTCGGGGGCCGAGCCCCCCAGAGAGGATGGGGTGTTCGCGATTCCGGGCGCCGATAAGGTGAACACAGGGCCGGCCGGCCGAACGTTCGATTCCCGGGGAGAGAGAGAGATGAGAGAGAGAGTGAGAGAGAGAGCAACAGAAAGAAAGCCAGTGATTTCACAGCCCTTCCTCCACAAGTGTGTTGGGTGTGGATGGGGCGGCACGGGTCGTCTCGGCCGATCTGCATAAAAAGCGGCCCGGGGCGCGATCGCGGACCTCTCTCTTTTCGAGAGACAGCCATATCGTTCACACATATACACATTTCATTGGCGGAGGTCTATTCCCGGCGGTTTTGTCTGTCTGCCTGTCCGTCTGTCCCGGGGCTAGTTCGTTACCGGTGGGGGGTTTCTTATTTTCTTGTACGCTCCCTATAATAAAATAACGTTGTTAATACATTTTAACGACGCTTTTAGACATAAAATGTCTATACAAAATTATGAACTAAAATTTCTTTGATTTTTTGGTCAAAAATACTTAATAATTTCGGGAATTTTGATTTTTTAACCATTTTTATACTTTTTTAGAACAAGGGCCAATAGGGAAAGCACTATAAAAATACACTACGTTTTATTACTATCGCGGTTAGGCTTAATAAAAAAGCTACCCCCCCCCGTTAACGCAACAGAACCGACTATGTCTGTCCTTCCGTCTTTTCAGTCGGTTCTGTTTGTCTGTCTGCATTTTCTGTATTGCTGTGCCTGAGTCCCCCCCGCTAACGAAACAGCACCAACTCTGTCTGTATGCCTGTGTTTTCCGTCGGTTCTGTCTCTGTCCTTTATGTCTTCAATTGTCTTTGCCCCCCCCGCTAATGAAACAGAACCGACCATGTCTATCTGTCTGTTCGTGTTTTCAGTTGGTTCTGTCTCACTGTCTGTTCAGCCTGCTCTACCTTTCTGTCTGTCTGTCGGTCTTTTTCTCTGTCCATGTCTGTCTGTCCGTGTGTGTGCTCATTTCGCGGCGACGAGACGGGGCATAGAGGCCGGCTCCCGAGAACCGTATTGATTCGTTCGACCCTTTGGGGCCCCGCCTCCATCCCCCCCCACCAGCAGCCGATCTCCACCGCCACCAGACCGCTTATCTGCCCTGTATTCGATCCGCCGGCCCGCTACAGGCCACCTCCTCCTCCTCCTCCTCACCACATCCAGCCATTCCCCTAGGGTAAGTAGGTGTCTACCGGAATTCCGCTACCATACTCTTTCCCCGGGACCTCGGGCCTAATTTGCATACGGCGGTCTGACGGGCATACCCCGGGGGCTAGTCACCCATTAAAAATGCGCATATCTTATCGTATTCTCGATGGGTTTTTGAGTAGATTACTGTATTCGAGGCGCAAATTTAAACTTCGGGCTTTTTTCAAAGAATTTTATCGCGATTTTTAGCAGTAGAAAATCCATTTTTTTCAATTACAGTAATCATTTTGAGTTTACTGGTTTTTTCTAAAAGGCTTCACTAATTAAAATATACAGTTTTTAGGTAAGCTATAAATAAAAATTTTTTTCGCTAGTTTGAAGCCCTTCTCTCCATTAATTAAAAATAGATTTAACTCGAGACAAATA